TCGCTCTTTTGCATTTTTTAAAAATATTTTACGTTTTTGTTTCAGCAAAAGCTGGGTATTTTAAAGTTTAATTACCGTATGTTCACGAATACCACGCGCAGGATTTTTTGATAATTTTAATCCGAAAAATAAAGATGCGTGGCTTACGGAAAACAAAGCAATAAACGCCAGGTAAACGCAAGTTTTTCGGCATAAATTATTTCTTTTTGAAGCTACGGAATCCCCAGGAAGTATAACTTTATATGATGCCATTGTACCCTCTCAAATAACAAATCCTGAACAGGAATATTTAGAGGATATACCGGTAATTCACCAAACTGTTATTCTCTGAATTATTTTTGCCGAAACTTGGCTTCTTACTCATAACATTGGCAGCAGCACTGGAGCTCAGCTGATAAGGAAGAAGAGAATACTCTGCAGTTCGGAAATCATCAGTGATGACAGCAGCTCAGAAGGTGAGGAAGATTGACAATCTACAGTGTGTTTACAGACTGAAAAAGGGGGAAGAAGTGCCATAGCGTGGTATGTTATCTGCCTTTGTTAGATTACCGATAGATTGTAAAGGATCACTCGGGGTTATTAAATCCATCCATATTTAATGCAGTGATTTTTGCCGACTGAAGCTATTGTTTAAAGACTAAAATTTCATATAACATACTTAGCTGTTTTTTTATTTCTGATGTAGAATTAAATTCCGTGGTTGCTAAATACTTAGGCAGGACCTGCAAAAGCTGCAGGTGGTAGCTCAGATTTCATTTCCGGTAACCGTCGATCGGTGTCATATTTCTTTGTTTCTTTATGCACGTAATCCAGAAAAAAGATTTTTTCTGTAAATTAAGCTTTCAGTGGCTTTAATGAAAAGATTCGCACCATATTTGCGGACATTTTTTTCACTTTTCGTGCATCGAAAAAATCCGGTGCGCGTCTTATCCGGTGGAGCGTGGTATTCGTGAACATACGGTAGTTTGTGAGACTACTCAGTTCTGCGTAGACAACCATTGGATATTTGTAAATAATTCGAGTAGTCTGACTTCGTTATTTGAATAGGGTGCAGCACATAGGGCTATCTATCTAAATGATTTTAGTTTGACTGATTACGGCAAAGTACAGTATGGCTATCTAGCTAAGGAAAGGAATGTCTTCATGGAAGATTTTCTAAGGGAAACTGTCTCGTATACAAGTTACACATGGGTAAAACCACGAAAACGCCCATGCAGCCAGTCTCTTCACCTGGAATCGAATCCAGGTTGGAACTACCAACGCTCGATCACTTACAACTCGCCCGCTGGTGAACATCTACCTAAAGGAAGAGAAGTCCTCGTAAAACGCTTTCTAAGGGGAATTAACTCATATTCGCGTTACATAAGCGAAGAAATCTTGAAAACCATCAATGCAGCTACCCCTTTTTTTCCTGGATTCGAACCCAGGACGAACTGCCAGCATTCAGCAGTCCTTTAACGCTCGGCCACTGGTAATAGCTCAAGCAGTAACTGAGCTATCAGCTGTAAAAAGTAATGAGTGTTTGCTAAATTAGCACAATCTTTTAAAAAATCTGCCGAACTTTTTAATTTGTTTCCGAAACGTGGTTTTCTAGCTGTAGGAACATTCTAAGGGGTTTTATAGAAGTCCCTTTCGTGGCAAAAGTAAAATTGCTGGCAGAAGTTGAGACTCAGTTAAATTCCGAGTTCAGCAATGAATTCAAAATCAAGTTGTCGAGAAAAGTGAACCGATTCTTAGCTACAGATATGCAGTGAGCAAACAGTGACTCTAGTTTTTTAATCCTCTGTGAACAACAAATAAAATTACAAATACGCATGCACAGTTACTCTTCTAAATAGAGAATCAGTTAATAATGGATACATGGGGTGATTCAAAAGTCGCTGAAAGCAAACTTCCAAAATTTGTGAAAATTCGAAATTTCAGTTGTAGTTTATGCAAGTAGTATAATTTTTTATGATACAGCATTATTTCGCCACGCATAAATGTGATTGCAATGCCATCTTTCTCACACTTTTTGTTAATGACTACAATATTTTATTCCTGACTTCATCCAGCTTGTCTGAACTAAGAAGAAACGAGTGTCATTTCATTTCTCATGATGAAAGCTTGTGTTACTTGTGTAAAAACTTGGTCAAATTTAAACTTGTGTAACTTTTCAGGTACAACATGCAAGGACTACCTGCCAACAGAGGGAGGCTTATGTGAAGGACTGTTAAAGCAAAGCTGGCTTTTATTTTAATAAAAAAACAGAGAACATTTTAATAAAAAAACAGGAAAAAACAGAAGTTTTCACTTATACAAGACACACTGTTTCTGAATTTAAACAGTTGAAGATGTTACATGTCCCGCTGATCATTGAGTAAGATGGCTAGTAGAAAAAAACTTCCCTCCGACGGGTGTGATTTTAAATCTTGAGTGAGACTCATATTTTTGATCGTCGTATCTAAAGAGAGAAGGAACTCATAAAATCTGTCAAAATCCTCATGTGTAGGTGGTGGCAAAGGACAAAATGTAAGGTCGTATCACGCGTTCAAAACATTTCGGAAGAACAACTCTTAAGAACAATTTTTCTGCTTTGTTATATGATATAAAACAGCCAAACGCCATGCCTACCTTTTGGGTTACCATGTAAAGGGTAAAATAGTTCTCTTTTGGAAACGACGGTTGATCGTGGGAGATTCTATGCTGATAGCTCATTGGTTGCTGAGAAAAACAACTTATGATTTTTTGCGAAAGGAAAACAATCATGCCTTTCTTTTAGTGATAAAGGAATGGGGAAAATTGAAACAGTTGCTCGCCCGAAACGAATGGATGTGTGATAACAGCCTAAAAAGGCTTCGAAAAGTGTTTTCGAAGATGCTTTCCATCAGGTTGAGATAGTGATAGGCAAAGCCCTTCTGAGGAAGATTTAAAATGTATTCAGTAAGAAATGAGAACTATATTCTCCACCTCAGATTTTCTACCAAAGTCTTGCCAAAAGTACCATGGCAGTTGATAACGTAAACATTGAATCATACATATCTATTAGGACTTCGGTCCATCTTTTGTTATTACCCTCAGCGTCTATTCGTCACAGAAGAATCTGCACAAAATTTCGAATGGTTATATCTTGAATTTGGTGACCTTTCTTCTTCAGAACAAAGGTCGGGTAGTAACTTCAAATTTTAGAAAGCTCGTAATCGTCGAGCCAACGTTTCCTATTGGAGTTTCTCTAGGTTGAGGTCAGTCAATTTCTTCCATGTCCTTTCATGGAAAACGCAGTCACAGACCTTGATTTAAAAATGAGGGATAATCAATATAGCAAAAAGGATGGACACTTACTAAACTATTGAAAAGATCTAATAAACATGCAATAATCGGAAATGGCCAGATAAACCTAAAGCTACGTTCAGATGGTGGCATAAATGTCATAGAGGTTTAGTCATAAGGTATGAAACGCGGGAGTTGCGTTCACACCTGCAAGACAGGGTATAAGCAGTAGCTAATTAGAGAAGATAACTTTGCGTATGCGGGAGATGTGTCTACAGCTTTCCAGCTCTGTTCTCCAGTTCATGTTTTGCGCGTTCGCTCTGATTGGTTGACTCTTATATCATGGCGTAAAGTTGGAAACTTCGAACTTTATGCCAAAACCCCTAAACCAGTTGTGACGTAGCAAGGTCTGGTTACCTAGGAAGGAAGCTCGGCTTAAACCGGTTATTACAATTATACCCCCGTCTGAACGGAGTCTAAGAAGTATACAGTGTAAGCATCGTGGATGTGACTGGGTGTTAGTTCTTACAAGACATGACTCCACGTTATTAAAACAATCAACTTTATTAAAACAACTATTTCATAAAGCTAAAGTCGCTACTACAAAGTACTCGAACTTTACAGAACTGAAGGTAAAGCAATGTGTGGTGTCAGCTGGTGGCACGGTCCGCTATTGCGAAACAAAGTGACGTCAGCTGGCGGCGCGCGCAGCCGAACATAAGACAACAACAGCAACCAACGGTTTTAGCCCATCCCAAGAAAACCAAATCCACATCACACATGTGACTCCTATAAAGATATTAAAATTTCAGAATCTCTATGCCATCTATTGGCAGACTATAATATAGTTTTATGTTACTGTAATATGTAAGGTTAGTAATTTTATGTAGTTTGTCAGCAACCTGGCGTTTTTCTTTCGTGACCTTGTGTAAGGTGACAACCCGCCATTTGAATATAAATAATATAATAAGTAAAAATAATAATAATAAGTAATAATAAGGAAAGTGAGTAATAAAAATCTTTGAAGGAGTGCTGTGTCTAAGACCTAAAAAGTAAAGAACTCGTTCAGATGAGAATCAAAACTTTGTTTTATATTTCAGGCATTTAATGTATGGCTCCAGCGGCCGAGCGATCGTTGGACGCTGGTAATTAGACCTGAGTTCGGTCCCAGGCGAATAGGCTGGCGAAGTTTTCGTAATTTTTCCCATATGTAACGTGGATATGAACCAATTTCTCTTAGAAAGTCATCCAAGTAGAATCCCTTCCTTAGGCATATAGCCCTCGCATGCTTTGCCATAGTAAAACAAACTAAACCAAAAAGCAGTCATTTAATGCAAAGAATGTGACAAAATGCTATTATAAAGCGTTGTTTCTATAATTCTTCACATCATTATGGGTTGATCTCATTACTACATTGTATTTATGTATAAAATTTGTAATTGGTGTTAGTAGTTCTGCATTGTCTTAGAAACAGACTCGTTGGCATGGAGTTGTCGGAACAGTGCATTTATCTTGTTCAGGAATTCAGTCATTCCTGCTGTGTTATTCGAAGATTATAGCATAGTATTTATCTTCAGAGCGAGGACTTCTTATATAGATATACAATGCAAAGACTTTTTATCGGAAATAATTTCAAAGTTCGATATTGTAGTAAGATGATAGTTAAAAAAGTAGCTATTTCATAATGCATTGTTAAACTTCTTTTATTACTATTATTGTTGTGATTGTTGTTCATATATTATTATTTACAGGTTTAGAAAATTCTTTGAAATGACAAGATCAGTGCAGGATGTCTGTTTAAACGCATCCAGATCGGAAATCCTCAATGAAAACCTTGATAATGTTAAAAAAGTAAGCACCATGAGGAACAGACCAGTACATACATGCGACAAGCAACAAGAGAACTGTGGATGCCTTTACGGTCTCATCACAGAATAACGAATTCCATTCGTTTCTTTATAAAATTGAACCTTGTTATTCCATGAAGGAATGAGATATGGAGCTAAGATTAGAGTTTGCAAACCAGGTAGTTGAATAATTATATAATAAATCCCTCGGATAAGAATCACGCATCGTTTAGTGACCTTGCATACATCTATCTGCAAGGTATCATCAATAAGTAAATTTATTACTATTGAGGTAATAAAAAATCACCTCTACAATTCACTTTTCCCTGCAAACACAGAGGATTACTTTTCGGTATGTCATTTATGAACCTACTATTATAGGGATCATTTTCATTGAAAAAATTTTCATTGAGCAGAGTTAGGGTAACTACTGACTTTGAACCTCAAGCTAGTCATCTTCAAATAGTACCAATTTATGTTATGAAAACTGCAGCGCGTGATAGTCTTATTTCTGAAGTCTTTGAACAGCTTCAAGAAGTATTTGAGACAGTGTATATCATTGATCTAAATCATAAATTCCCAAAGTGGTCTGTATGAACCCCAAGGGATCTACTCCGAACTCAAATGGGTCCATGTCAACGAAAGAATTAATTGGGAGTGCATAAGATATAAAGAAGGGTCCACAAGACTGGATCCCATTTAAGCAGGCTATCACTAAAATTTAAGGGTTCTTGTAAATGTCATAATACACTTAACACAGATTTTACCTATGTACTTACAATAATACTTACATAACTGGCATATAAATAAAATATTAATTAAGTATGTTTCATAAACTTGTGTAAGTAGGTACCTATTCGCTTCGTGCTCCTAAAAACTTGCACATTTGATACCAGTTGCAACGCGTTGAGCCTATATATGCAGTAGCAACGCTTGTCCAAAATGTATTAGAACTTTGCAAGAACGGAACAAACTTGTACCACTTGTGCTTGCACGAACTTATTTAATTCTTCAGTTATAAATAAGAGTATCAGAGACAAATACTGCATTTGTTTTCTGAATTTTAAGAAGAAAAAAGATAATCAAATATTTTCAAAAATATAAATAGGCAGTTAGGTACAAATAAGTTAAAGGGAATCAAAGTCATCTTTTAAGAACTTTGAGAGAAGTAAATAAGTTTTTGTTTAATAAAATTTTTTAATAAAATATATTTTCGTAACTCCTCCGACTACGTAGAAACGGCAGTCATGTTTGCAATATCGAATAGTTTCCAATATTTAAATTGGGAACGTCTAAAAATAACAACAAAGGTAATTCCGTGAATTGCTTACATTTTTTGGTGAACGACACATCCATCTTCAAAACCCAATACAGTATTTTGCAATTTAACGTGTATAACACAATTTCAAATCGAGTAAGTTGTTACGTTTTCTTTTGAACGGATAAGACATTTTGTGGTGGACGGATTAAGACATAAAGTGGGATTTTTAAATTTTTTAACATTTTTGTATGAGATTAATTTTGTAGAATAACTTTATTTAGTAAGTACTACAACTTGGTAAAAATAATGTCCCAACTTAAAAAGCACCCAATATACAACTCAAGATTAAATTAAGGTTTTGCAATAGGAATCAGTTTTGAATTGCTATGTTCTATGTACAGAAATAACTGCTACTAAACATGATCAAATCTAAAATGAAATGTAGGCAGTATAGTATTGATTACTTGGAGTTCGATTTCATTCCATCATTATCGCACAAACACCTGCCCATATGCCTTTAATGCAACAAAGTTTTAAGTAATGAGTGTATGAAATCATCCAAACTGGAGGATCATCTGAGAAGGCGTCACCCTGATAAAGCAACTTAAGATTTGAAATACTTTCAAACACTGAAAGATAAAATTCAGAAGAGACTCACAGGGGACAGTGTGTTCGCTTCGATGTCGAGAGAAATGATGACGGTTTCCAGGCGTCTTCGCTACTTATTGCAAAATCGGGAAATCCGCTTACTATAGAACACCTAATTTTTACTGGCATTGAAGAGGTTTTAAAAACCACGCAAACCTGCATACGATATGCTCAAAGGAATTCCTTACAAGTATTAACAACGCAGTTCGTGTTGATGAAACGAGTGATGATGTTGAAAGCTTCTTATTTCTGCAAACGACCCATTTCTCCATACAGTTGGACGAGTCTACTTTACTTGGTAAGAAGCACTATTATTGGCATGTATTCGCTAAGTTATGGACCATGAAATCCATAAAGAACATTTCTTCCCGAGAATTTTAACAACAGGAACTAAAGGTAAATCAATATTCAGTGTTCTGAGAGATTATTTCATGGAGAAAGCAATCTTTTACCAAATATAATGTCAACAGCAATAGATGGAGCACCTGCCTTCTTTGACAGCTATGGGGATTTTAAAAGCCATTTAAAACAAAATGCAGCCCGGTATTTTCAATTTACTGTGGTCATCCAACATTTAGTTGCCAAGAATGGTCGCAGATTGCAGCAATCTCTTTAATTTGTCCTAAAAGCAGTAAATAAACTGCGGCGCAACGCTTTGAATTCTAGGTTATTTGTGCAGCCGAGTAAAGGAAATAATGAGAACTTTCATCAATTAAGGCAAGTTTTTATAAGATTGACAAGATTTTATTTCCTACTTTTTGAGACTGTTTTAAGGGTTTGGGGATGTTAAAGACCCCCAATTTTAAGAACAGTTTTATCAAATAGAAAATTAGACATTGCTTTTTTTTTTTTACAGATTTGTGTACTGAATTTAATGAGATTAGCTTCCAGTTACAAGAATGCAATGTAAATTTAATAAAAACCAACTCCATTAGCAGCTTTTCTTGCCAGAACTGTTGTTGCTGCTTATGCTCACTTGTCTGACATAGTCAGCCCAAGTTCACAAAATTCCTCGTGGCAAGGAGGGCTAGATTACGCCTGTCGTTGACAACAGTCATGAGCACCTAACAGATGACAGTGCGATTTGGCCCAGTTCCGTCCCCAATTTTGATGGAGAGTACCCCTGGGGAGACGGATCCGAGGGACTCCTACCCCTCTCTTCCTTCCACCAAACCACATCCATCTTCAAAACACGAGAGTACTTCGGCTTGCCGCATATTTAGAAAGCCGCACCGACAGGCCGCACCGACACTATACATTTACAAACGTCCATGCCTTCTCCGGGATCACGGCAGTCAGCGATGCTAACCACTTTACCGGTTGGGTGGTTCTTGCCAGAATTAACCTAATGAATCAAAACATTGGATGGTGGAAATTTTCCCAGTTTCCCAATTTGTCACAGACAAAATGCCAAGATGATGACGTTTCATCTACTTTCAGTATTTTAATGCACTTCCTACAGAGTTTAAAATCAGCTTTGAGGATGTTTTGGCTATAGAAATACCACACTGAATTAACAATCCATACATTAAAGAATTTGGACGCCGTATTAACAGTCTAGTCTAGGATCTCGTAGTCTTAACAGTCTAGGATGTCGTAGTCAGAAGAACTGACTGGAATAAGCACTAAAGAAGTACTTAAGGTGCAGTTTAAGAAGGGTTATCAGAAATTATGTTTTCAGAGAGGCATACCTGTGACTTTTCTTGCGTTATGGACTATCACAAGAAAGAGTTTGATAGCCTTTCCCATTTTCACACCTCGTGGAAAGGAATGTTAGCAGCGCGCTTGTCAATCTCCTTACCCAAAAAGTTTAGAAATCACTTGTCGAGAAGATTTAAGGTTAAGCCTGACTAATTGGAAGCCAAATATTAAAAATTTTCTATTAAAGCGTAAGGCTCATCCCTTCCTTTAAAAGCACTGATTCTTTTGTGTACTTATTTTATGTAAGAATGTTACTAGATTTGCATTTTGTGCCGTTTTGATTAATAAAGTTATATGAATAAAAATGTTAATTTTTTTTTTATTTTAAAGTTTCCCCCTCTGCAGTAAACCCTATCAAAGTGAAAAGCTCTGTGTCAGCTGTCAAAAAACACGTCTGAAGTTGATGAATTTTTAAAAATTTAGTATTAGCCTAGAATTGGCAAACCACTTAGCCAGCATAAAATTTCACCTCACCACTGTCCCTTTCAAGTAAATGTTTACCCTATTAGGTAAATTTCGCCTTTGTAACGTGACTTTTCTATACATTTTGCTTTCACCGAAGTGTTTTGAAACCCTCGAGTACAAATATTACACTGCCCGACTGGTTTGGGAACGACCCCTAGAAAGGGGAAAGGGGTCCACAAAAACATAAAAAGGTTGGCAAGTGGTCTACGGTACAAAAAAGTTTGTAGACCTCTGATCTAAGTATTCACAAGTTTATTGGAAGCGTTGTGAGCGGATTGCCTTACGACCCTAACTTTACAAGGTATTTCTCCCGCTTTCCAGCGTGCCTTCGTGGTGTAACGGTAGCACGCTGGGCCGGTATTCCAGAGGTCGGTGTTTCGATTCCCGGCGAAGGCGGTTACTAATTTTTCATCTCTCTGACTTCCAAATAATCCTAATGACTCTACAAGTGGCGCCCGAACTAAAAGGGTTGTGGATGATGATTCTCCACACCCAGGATTTGGCGACTAGGTCCCCTAAAACCCTACTCGCCCCTTAAAAGGGGGAGTATATAAGGTATTTCTCTCGCTTTCCAGCGTGCCTTCGTGGTGTAACGGTAGCACGCTGGGTCGGTATTCCAGAGGTCCGTGGTTCGATTCCCGGCGAAGGCGGTTCCTAATTTTTTATCTCTATGGCTTCCAAAAAATCGTAATTTCTCTACAACTTCAAACCTTGTGGTCGCAGTTTATGAAGTTGTAAAAGGGACAAAATGTACCCATAACTATTCCGTAACTGCTGTATTAAATGAGACTGTGGCCATTCAAAATTAACCCCCCCCCCTCAATACATCGATGAGTTTAGATTCAGGATTCTGTCATTGCGTCTGAAGGAGGATTGCTTTTTCTTTCAAGACTAAATAAAATTAATCCTGTTTTAAATTTTCACGTTGTTTTCTTTTTGATTAAAATAGAATAAAAAGATAATTTTAAAAGTGCTATTCAATGAATTTAAATGGAAGCGTACAGTTTGTAGACTGGTATATAAAGACATATAGTCGATAAAGTTTGGCAAATATGTAGTGTATAAGCAATAGTGAGCAAGCAAATAACTCGCTGGTATAGAAGCTTGCTGTAACTTGCTTAATCATGGAGCAACTGTCCCATGAATAATTTTGTTATTTTACTTCATTAAAAAATTAGGTACTATTGGGTTTCGAGGGCCGTAAAAAATCGTCAAACTATTGTTGATGCCAATACTGCCAAAAATAATTGCGGCAAGAAAGGAAGTGTAATAGTAAATAACTATCTAAGATTGATGTTTTAATTTAGATGAAAGTTAATTTTATATAATCCTTTTTTATTATTATAATTTATATGAAAAAGGCTAAACGTGACTGAATGGAAGCAAAAGAGTAAATAACTGTTTCAGATCATTATTATAATTTTATTTATAATTTATATAAAAATTGCTAAACATAACTGAATGAATGCCTGCATCGCTATTTCGTTACCGACTTACTGCTAAAGCATAATTTCATCTCGTTGGTTGTTCAAACGTAATTTTCTGTAATGAATGATGCCTTTTCTTTGAGAATATTCTCGGTAAAGTGCAGAATCGCTCACTTATTTGTTTGCCGCTTTTTACAAGGGTAAAAACAATTGGATTTTTGCCAATTTTCTTTCACTTTTTAAGTGAAAATAGGTCGATGTGTACATAAATAAAGTCAAGGGTGTGCGCAGTGCCATTTTTGTGCAATTCTAGGATTTTTTTTTTTTTTTAAGTGAAAATAGGTCGATGTGCACATGGATACCGAGTATGTGCAATTCTTAAAAACACGTCAAACAGTGGGTGATTCTGCACTTTACCCAAAATTCTATTGCCCACTTTTCGTCATGGGCAATTCCCAAATTGTTAAATCCATAGGATATTAAAGGATTTAAAAATCAAAAAAGGATTTAAAAATTCAAAAAGGATTTAAAATTAAACTAGTATTTCAATGGCGTCTTAAGAAATACAGAACTATATAAACTTACGCAATCTGAAATCAGCGCGTACGCTAGATTTGGCGCGCTGTTAAATGGGTACGTTTGCTAGATTTGGCGCTTTTGCACATATATTTTCGCTGCAATTTTTTACGGTCCTCAAAACGGAATAGTACCAAAAATTAATATTGTGGCTTAGTTTTAGCTGAATAGCAATATATAACGCGTTTTGTTTTCCGCAAATAAACGGTAATTATCTTGCTTTATTCTGGTACAGAAAAAGAAAAGTGTTCAAGTCTTAAATCCTGTGTAAATAAGAATTAAATTAATAGTTTTACTTTATTTGAAACAGAAGTGATTTGTATGTTTAAGACAAATAAAAAAAATTCACTGTTTAATTTTGCCGACTTCGTTATTTATTTATTTTATTTTATTTTATTTATTTATTTATTTATTTATTTTGGTTGTATGAAAATAAAAAAAAACTTTTATATTTTAAACTATATTAACTGTGTAGTTTTTTTTTTCAAATAAAATACGAGGATTGAAAAATATTAAACCTCCTTAAACTGCATTAGCACGCATTTAACCCACCAAAAACAAAGCCAAATTATTTACAATCTCATTGAGCCCAGATATTTCGAATTCCATTTGACGGGCCTTCTTTTCAATGATCTTATATTATACCCTGAAGTTCTAATCATATGGGGCTGACAAAGAAAAGGTTGAAAAGTACACTGCCCACCAAAAGTTAAGGAACAGTATGCTTTTTGTGTCTAATTTGAGAATGAAGAAACATAGAAACAAGAAATTTACAGGACATGTTAACTAAGCAGTTAATAAAGTCGTTAATGAATGCAATATAGAATGTTTCTAAAGTTCAACACAAACATGAATTACAACAAAAAATTGCACTCTTGGCAGAGAAATCCAGCCTTGGAGAAACAGTATATAACATTTTTTTTTTTTTTTTTTTTTTTTTTTTTTTTTTTTTTGAAAAAATGGGGTGGTAACATTACAAAAATGTGTTCTAATAAGGAGTGTGTCCACTCCTAGCTGCAATACATTTACGGCAGCGACGTTCCATGCTGTCAATTAAGTTGTCGGTAAGTGAAATGGAAAGAAACAACCAGACACAGGAGTAATCCTTGTTCCAGCTCATCTAGCGACCATTGAAGAGGACTTAAAGCAGCAACCTATCTCCCAAAGATGCTTTATCGGATTCAGAACTGGAAAATGAGCTGGTCATTCCATCCCCTCCATACCGTGACCTTCAAGATATTCTTCAGCAACTCGAACTCTGTGCGGTCGCGCATTGTCGTCCATCAGAAGAAATCCAGGACCAATAGCAGCGGCATATGGGCGGACATATCGATCAAGGATCTCGTCGCGATATCTCACACCGGTCAAAGTTCTTCCATGGAACACATGCAGGTCAGTGTGATCACTGAGAGAGAGAGCCCAGCCCAAGCCATTATTCCACCACCTCTGTAACTGTGTCTTTCCACAATTTGGGATTGTTTGTATCTGGAGTGTTGTTTCCTCCAGATCAGCTAACGACCTGAATCACTCTCCAGTGTGAACCTGTACTCGTCTGTGAAGAGAACAGACGTCCATTGTTGACTGGTCCAGAAGACGTGTTCTCTTGCCCAACATAAACGAACACCTCTATGTCCTCGGGCCAAGCGGACACAAACAACTGGTCGTCTTGCATAGAGACCTGTATTGTGCAGGCGTCTGCGCACTGTGGTAGCTGAGATTATTGATCCGGTTTCCACAAAATGATCTACCGTGAGCTGAGGCACAGTAATGTTACTCCTGGATATTGTTCACGAAACTGTAATAACCAATGAAAATCAACACTCATGAACAAAAATTACAATTTTTGCATTCTTTCTCCAAGTCCTATATAAGTATTCATTTCTATAAAATAAAAGTGGTAGCTGTTGTTTTTGCATATACATTCTTAAACTTCGTTACTGTTATGCATATGAACTGTGAATTTAAACATTACGGACATTTTTTTTAATGGTGAGCTTTGGAAAGCATGCTGCTCCTTAACTTTTGGAAGGCAGTGTATCAAAGAATGAAGAGCAGAGGAAAAAATTATCATGTCAAACATAATGTTTGAGTTATAGCTAAATATAGTTCTGATTCCTAATCAAAAACTATATGATTTTATTCAACAATGTTGTTAGTAAATTTCTTATCCTTCTGAATTTGCTGATAAATTGAATCCCTGAGAAATACACGGAAAAAACTATATACGGAAAATATTAAAATATTTGGGCGAAAGAATGCAAATTTTGTTATACTAAAAATTTAATGACTTTCTGTTTATATCCCTTACATTTTTAATCTCTTATTAATTCTTCACATTTTTTTCAGATAATTTAACTAAAATTTTATCACAGATAGGTATTTAGTTCCAGATGCATAGTATTTAGCGTAACAAGTGAAAATATTACTCTTTTATCTTTGCACTATTTAACATGAAAAACTTCACAAGAACTCATAGTTGTCTGGCGATGTATATTACTAGGGTTACCGTATCCTGTAACATAAAAATAAAGACATGAGTAGTATTAGGACATGAGTAAATTAGGAAACCATACCAATCAGATCCTCCAAATTTTGAATAACATCACACATGTAAAAATTCACATAGTAAGAGAAAATACGTAAATTTCAAACAATTAAAATGTTTAATACAATACATATTTTGGTACCTGTTTCTTAAAATACTGAAGTCTGACAATGCGTAATATATATATATATATAGAGAGAGAGAGAGAGAGAGAGATAAAGTACAACAATAAGTTTCAGTAATAAATTTCAGTCACTCATGTTCAGATAGAGGGAAGATTTCTTTTAAAATGCCACAATGTTCTAACTAGGGTAACTGCAGTAATGTGTAAATGAAATTACGAAAGCTGTTCTTCATTATATCTAATTCTTTTCAGTGACTCCTCGGAATGGCGATTCCGTTTCTTAGACCCATGCATTTGAATTGAACAGAAGTCTTTCCACATTAGCACTATGAGAAGCGATAGCGAAAAAGAAAGGAATTTCAGACTGATACTCTATACTTTTTTGAAGATTTCAATTACTGAGATGACATAACTTGTTTCTGACTTGTTTCTTTCTTTTGAACGTAGATGCCAATTTCTTAAGACTGCAAGACTGATTAACCTGGCATAAATGTCTACTTCTCTACTTTTGCTTTTATCATGAACGATTTCGTTCCTGTACAAGGGAACTTTTCAAATTTCGTCCATTTTAAACTAGAAAATTCTTCAAATGGCTCAATGCACATATCCAGGTATATAAAGTAGTTAATGAAAAAAAAATTTAGGCGGTATTTCAGAAATGCTTATTCTGTTCTTTCAAGCATTCTTGAGAGTCTCTTGCTGCAGATATTTAGCTTCTGTTGTTAAGACAAGCATTTTTGAAA